GTCAGTCAAATTACTGACGTTTCATGTTGAAAATCAGTGGCCCAACAAACTGGTGCAATGGCAGCTCCACTACAAGTGATAACACTTTTGTAGAGAGAACATCATGAGAATACTTGAATTAAAATGTATTTAATTTCATTTTTTCTTTAAAACTGCATTAATTCATTTTATCAATAATTTTATAATATTGTAATTTAATTGAAGATTTTATTAATTTCAATACTTACGAAGGTTGCATTAATTACAAACGTAACATTATTTCTGTACCTGAATTGAAATATTTCAATTCTAAAGAAAAACGTCTCGATGAAGACCAATATAAAAAAGACTTCTTTATGAGCTCTTCTTTCGGAAATATCTCATGGTTCGCTTAATTTTCTCCACTGATCTAATGTAACCGCACCACCTAGACCGAATTAATTCATACTGCAACAGAAAACTCACCAGCAATACTGGCCAACAATAGTGACTAGCAATAGCGACAATATCCAACAATAATCAGCCAGCGTTAATGGATTTCAAATTCCTCTACGTCGTTTCATGTTGGTAAAATTGCCACCGGACCATTCTCCATGTTCACCTCTTAAAGTATTACAATTCTTTCGTAAAATTGAAAATGATAACTTAGGAACATTGTGAAGTCTCTCCGCGCCCGCGCCGAGGGCAGTGTTGCCGACGTTTTCACATTCACACTGTGGTCTTCTTTAGGGCATGAGAGGGCTTCTTCGGTGCTGAGAGAGACATTAAAGATTCTTATAATAATTGGACGTCCCATTCCCTACCAACACTGTAATTTCTCCGAATGCGCGCCGATCTTCATACTCAGTCACCAATAGCATGCGTCCAAATACTTTTCTGAAGTGCGTGTATGTCTTTGGCAATAAAAAACGCTCCCTGGAACCCCTCTGAGTTTATAGGTGTTGTGGTGCGTTAACGTTGGCATTTTTCATGAAATAATTATAAACGTTGTCATTGCCAACAATAGTATTTATTGCAAGATGATGGCTAAGCCATCGAAAGCTGCTCTTGCAATAAATACTACTGTTGGCAATGACAACGTTTATAATTATCCCACTGAGTTTCTTAAATTTCTGTATAATATACAAAATAATGATATAGTTTGTTTCTTCGTCTTAACAAAATTCCAAATTGTTCCTAACTCGGTGGACAGAGGTTTTAGTATTCTATTCGTAAAGGAATAGTGTTCGTTCGTTCTTTCAGAGCCTCTCAAGTGACCAAAACATTTTTCTAGCTGATTCTTGTCTCTCTTGTCACACTTACATAGGAAACAACAAATATTTCGGGTATAGTATTTTGATTTCAAGCACTATCGCAATAATTGCATCTTCAAATATGCGTCTACTGTGATTTTGGATATACATGCCCTGCAGTGATTGTTTCGTTCTCTCGCAACTTTCTTTCGCATTTAAAGCCAGCGCAAAAGGAATGGAATGTATATTATTCCAGTTTGTGAAAGAGGACTGCTTTGAGACGAATCTTGACATGAAGAATGTCAAGACATTTTAAATTGCACTGGTCTACAAAATGAAACGTTTTGTAATCATCAGAAATATAACCATATTTTTCTAAACTAGTTTTAAACAAGTATTACGGTTTGGCATTCAAATTTGCGCCATCACCAATAATTTATCTCCAATAGAGAATTATTTTACTACACGAAAAATCTGCCATACTTCATTTCCTTATAAATTGTGTTAGAAGACACACAAAATTTGATAAACTGCCACGTCTCTTGCGAACTGCTTCAGATCCTTCTCTATATAACATCCAGCAGTAATCTGCCATAATGGAGTACTAATTCCAGAAACCTTGATAGCGCTGCACCATTGTTCTGATGTCTTGGTGGAAACGCTCACCTTGTTAATCACTCACATCACAGAGGTTATCAGGAAAAAAATCTTTATGGAAGGGTAGAAAATGTAACGTAAGTGACATTCTACATTCTTTTTATAATGAACACAAAAGTCTCTTGATTCTATCAACAAAAATCTGAAGATTTTATTTTCCCTAATAATTGTTCACACACACACTAAAAAACCTGTTCAGGCATTTTGATATTCTGGAGTCATATTTTGCGTGATCGCATCATCTCTTAAAATCTCTCGAATTTGGAGTCCCGCAAAGATTCCTTCCTTCATTTTCGCTGCACTGAATTTTGGAAATTTTTCACAGAGATACTGGATTGCTCCAGTTCGTCTTGTCTATAGTTTTCACCAAACAACTAATGCACGTTTTATATGAAGAGGAAAGACAAATAAGCTGGAATCTACGCCGCTGGCATTTAGTTGCGAAGGAACCACACACCTTTGAAAATGTGTTTGAATTATTTTTACACCCTCGAGGCATTTCTGTGACAATACGTTATTAATAGCACACGGATATACAGAAAAGAGACACATGCTCCACAGCACGCAACAAAAACATTGGCCTGTATTAATGTTTGTTTCCAGGCGAGATTCGAATAACCTGCATTGACATGTGACTCTACAGCAAATACAGTCACCTATGTTATGCTATAGTAAGTGTTTTGAGATACGCTTGTCAAAACACGAGCTCATTTCATCCCCAGCAACAGCAGCTCCTGAAAGAATGGCTTTACAGCTGCGAATTCGCAGTCACCATACGAAAATCGCTCTATCTCAGAAAATATTCGTGTTAGAAAACATCCTAGCACATATTTGGAATCAGGACGAGACACTTAGTAAATCTCACATATTTTCCTTCCTGGTCATTTTTCATTGTTATCTAGATAAGTCCTTTCTTGGGGGAATAATACGCACATTTGCAATATTGAAACCATCGTATCACGAACACGACACGAGCTAGAGAAATTTTAAGTACATATTTAGAATCAGGACGTGATACATAGTAAATCACATATAACTTTATTTCTGATGTTTTTTCATTACAGACCTGTTATTGGAGACTATCTGTAACGGTAATGGTAAGGGTAACCATGATAGCAACGGTAACGATGATGTTAACAGGGAAATGAACGGCGACAGTGCCGGCGGTGTCGGTGACAGCGTCGTTGAAGTTGACATTGAACGTTGATAGTGATGGTGATGGAGACAGCGTCGGTGGTGACGGTGACTGTGACAACGTTAGTGTTTGGCCTCTAAAACGTCAGGGCTGAATGGGAAATTGAAAAGGCGTTATGACGACGGCCGCCGCCCCCCACCTCCCCAACCTTCATTGACGCCGGTGATCAGCCCGGTCCATCGCCACGCGGGCATTGTTAAGCGCGCCTGAATGAAACCGGCGGGACGACGTGGAGGTGGTAAATTTTAAATTACGGCTCAGACATTCCACCTACGTTCCCTCCCCCCCCCCATCCACCACGCCCGAACCGCTCCGCCTCTCCCTCCCCCTCCCTACATTTAAGGAGTTATTTACCTAAGTTAATATAGGAGAGACCTCTTTCCACGCGTGTATATTATATTCAGTACTTTAGATGAGCCATTAAGATAATAAGGCGATACCGGGCGAATAGGCGGATGTACAGTGCGGTCCATAAGTTGCGCGAACAGATCCAGACCAGATCTGTGCGTGTCGGCGGAGCGGCGCAGGTGCGGCGAGTGGCGCAGAGATGATCGCAGCGATGCGCCTCACAATTCACGGGGTGGGGAGAGGAGAGGCGCGGCGCAGCAGGGCACTTAACGATTCAGCGAGGAAAGAAAATGTACTATTGAAAATGACATCGGACGGAAAGAAAATTCACGATTAAAACTGACTTCGGGCGGAATGTACACAACAGTTTTGTCTCTGACCATTCGTCTGTTTTCCGATGAAAGTTGAAAAAGCCGTGCCAAAATAGTGATAACCTTCAGTTTTTGTACCTCTGAGAAGAAACAATTTGTAAATCCAAACATCAGTTTGTGTATAGGCTTCCTGCTGTTTTATTTAACTATTGCAGTTCTATAAACACTTTTGCTGTCTACAACGTAAAGCTTTTCATTTTGAATATGTGAAATGAAGATTATCGTTGGGTTGTCCCAACCTCTTTAATTAGTGTACTGGTGATGAATCCTAAGTTGCCTTGATTTTCAAAATCCGAATCGTGAATTATCGTTTCAAATCCAAACATCCTAATAATTGAACCAACAAATATTCAACACAATGTATGAAGAAAATACATAGTAAGAAATATGGATACAATGAATACGTATTAGCAAAGAACAAGAAAATAATATGTCATAGTTTGTAATAACTTGATCAAAAAATAGTGGGGAATATACTCAAAGCTCATTTAGAAATTAGTCAAGGTAAGTTATTCCTTAGTTATAGATTGTGCATGCAAGGAAAGGACATTTAAAATGCAGAGAGTATAGGAGAGAAGGTAACAAGTCCAAAATTCCAAGAATTATAATTCATTGATATAAGAATTTCGGCAAAGTTTGAGTTTTTAAATCCTATTTTATATTCTTGTTTTCCTTTCTTTTTCGGGATGCCAAAGTCCAGAGATTTTAAATTCACATTTTCAAATAAACTTAGGTGTTTGTGTGTTGCTCTAGAATTCTCGAGGAAACGATGAACGGGGGAAACAAAAATAAGTAAACTATGAACCACAGAGTTTACATCTTGATTAAACGCTGCGGCTGTTGTTGCTGTCTAGAGAACATTTTCATTTTAATTTAAACATATTATTCAAAGTGAAATATTGGTGCTTCCAAGAGCTACCAATAAAATAAACTATAAAGTACGCCCAAAATCCTCCAATGGCAATAGTGCTTTTTAGAGAATTTGCAAGAATTAACGTATGTCTTACGAAGTACAAACTGTGCACACAGAAATTCAGTATTACACAAATACATTCCTATGAATACACATTTGGGTGTGGAAAATACACGTGGAAAACATACAAAACAGATAACTCTGGTGAAGTTTGCAAAGCTCCCGTTGTGAACTGATGTTACCCTACTGTTCAAAGCCGGTTTTCGGCTTCCATTGAAATATATAATTGAAAAGACTAAACTCACTTTGTGATGGCTTTCTTGAACTGCATTGGGCTGAACAAAGATTTCTTTTAAATTCGTATTTCCCCGGTGGGTCTGAAAACAAGAGAGTAATGTAGTTCTTACAGAAAAAATTCGAAACCCGCTAGGGTTGTTATGAAATGTCCGCTACAGAATTAAATAACAAATTGTAATTTTGGAGGGATTTTCGTTTAATCATCCGACGAATCATGAGAGAAACCTTTTAATAAGATAAAATGCTGGAGAAGGACAATGAAAAAGAGGAGAAAAGGAAATCCTAAAGAATATTTTGAAGATTCGTGGTAAACACATATCGATTCGATTATTAAATATTTATGAGTACATTTCAATCTAGCAGCTACGTAGTTTAGTTGCATTTAAATATTTCACGTGTTTCAAATCAATTGGAGAATTCGGAATGAAAGAAGGATGGGTGCATTTTCAGAAACATTCGTTTACGTTCTCTACACTTTCCAGCCCGTTCGGTTGCGTGTTCAGTGCATAATCAACAGAATGTGACGACCCGTCAAGTACAGCATGGAGCCAAGTATAAACTACGTGTATGTGCGTTATGACAGATAATGGTGTAACTTGTTGACCGCTATAGACGTGTTAACTCGTCGACACGCTCCGCGGCACAAATGTCTAATGACGCGACACGCCGCGCCACAGACGCTGTAGATGTGTTAACTCAATGGAATGGGCAGTTCATCAGATGCCCCCTTTCGTTTCGTTTCTTAGCTAGACATGGTAGAAGCTCAAAGTATTTTGCTGTGGTGACATTTCACTGCAGCGAAATAATTGCAGAATCATGAGTCAGTGTGGCGCATGCTGGGTTAGTAATCTTAGCGAGACATAGAATTCGAAACGTTACTCTGATGGGTAGTTTCTCCGATAATAACGAGGCGAATGCTCGAGCAGTACCCAAACAGGCCACGGACAGCACGCGATATTTCCTTCTTCTCCCTTGTCGTATCCTCGCTCCATACACACTTCTATGCACTACACCACTCCATCGAAAAAAAGAAGAAAAGACGAAGAAGAAGGAAACGACGGCCAAGAAAAGGATAGGATCAAGAAAAAAGATAAAAAAGAACGAAGAAAAAGAAATAAACACGAAGAAGACGAAGATGAGGTCTAAGAAGAAGACGAAAACGAAGACGAAGGAGAAGAAGAAGAAGAAGAAGAAGAAGACGACGAAGAAGACGACGAAGAAGACGACGACGAAGAAGACGACGACGAAGAAGACGACGACGAAGAAGACGACGAAGAAGACGAAGAAGAAGACAAAGAAGACGAAGAAGAAGACAAAGAAGACGAAGAAGAAGACGAAGAAGAAGACAAAGAAGACGAAGAAGAAGACGAAGAAGGCAAAGAAGAAGACAAAGAAGAAGACAAAGAAGAAGAAAAAGAAGTAGACAAAGAAGAAGACTACGGAGAAGAAAAGGAAGACGAAGATGAAGATGAAGATTTTTAAAGTTCCTTACTAAACGTGAGTACGAAAGCCTTTAAAGAATTCCCAATCCCCCGTGAGTCCAGTCCACGCAGGCCCACGTACACCGCATCCCACAACCCATTACACACGAGGCGAGGTGGGGCGAGGTGAGGCGAAGCGAGGCGAGGCGGCGGAGCGCGGAGTGGACACGGGCGGCGGGGCCGTCACCCGAGCGCCGCCGCGCCCATCCATCACCCGACGCCGCCGGCGCCGCGACGCCGGCGCCGCGACGCCACGCAACACGCGCGTCGCACGCACGTGCGCGTCGCGAGGCGTTCTCGCGCCACGCACCGCGGCGCCGGCAAATGGCGTCGTTGCTATGCACAGGGCCCCTTCTCAAACGCCTCCGATGCATTGACAACAAGTGTCTTGAAGCGGGCCAAACCCTGCAATTCTAAATATATCTTATCGTCATTCTAACAGATTCTGAAGAATCAGTATTCAAATTTCTAGAATCCTAATATTTTCGATTTACAAGTCCAAAAAAGTTTTGGATCCCGATCATAATGCTTTAAAATTTTAATTTCTCGATTTAAGTTTTAATGAGTTCTTGAATCCTGTAAAAGACTGCACGATCCAGTTTGCTTACGTATCTATCGTAAACCTTAACATAAAATTGTTGTAATAAATTCTTGAATATATTTTCGTTTCTGATGATCACAACAAGATCGAAAAGTTCTTAATTTATTAAAAATATTGATACCAATAAAACACCTTTCCTCAGGTGTATATACTACACTACGTTATAGCAGAAGTTGTGAAGTCTGTTTTTGTTCAAATATTTAATTTTTGGCAATTTTTGGCAATTTTTGGCACGAGAGTATTCTATTGTCGAGCATGTATTAACCATCTCGCGCGGTCTTATTCAGAAGCATTGTCGTCGCTGCAGGCCTCGAGTTTGAAGCAGGACCACCCGGGCAGTTGACACATCCAGCGTGTGAAACCCTTCCACCGCGCGCTCAAGTGAAGTCGAGCGGCGCGAAACGCTGTGGAATGCGGCCTTTTCCACGCGCGACGCGGAGCGACACTTGGCAGCGCACAGCGCGGCACGGCACGGCGCGACACGGGCGGCGCGGCGTGCGGAAGCGCACGCGCGCTCCATCAGATGCCATTGGCGGCGCGAACGGACGACAAGCAGATCACATCCGACTAAGGATAATCAGTGATGCTACATCACTTACTTCCTTGCATCGTATATACAAGCATCGTGTATTAAAGCTATAAATGGAACGCTTTTAATGCCTCTCACTATTGGTTTTAAGCAAGTAAGGTACTAATAAAAGAGAATAAAAATAAAAATTCGAAGTCACTATATATTGAACGGATTGCAGTTTTCGTTTATCAATAAAACGCTTTGTTTGCGTTGTTTGAAATGCGAGCCTAAAATGGAAACGGGAAGATGGCGTCTTGCGCAACTTGACAACTTTGCGGGAAGTGGAAGAGCAGTTGGTCCTTCTTAGAGAGCGTCGTGTTTTGTGATTGTTAAAACGATTGTGTGTGACTATTTATGGACATTCTTATGTATCATTCTTGTGGCGTCTATGGAAAACATCAAAGAGGAAGGGATTTCTGATTTATATTTGGAAATTGTATTTAGTACATTTTGTTATATACAATATGGTAAGATAGGCAGGATTTGCTGTAACAATAGCAAACAATATCCATATATATCATCTTGGTATATATATAACAATGTATATTCATGGATATACAGTATTTTCTGTCGTAACTTTTCTACAGTTCCACCTTTTGTGCCAAGTACTCGCATGGGATCAGCTAGTTATTTCTAAATTTGCAATTTGCGAACATTCAGAAGGATCAACAAAAGTGAGACATGGCCATTCTTTAAGGTGTCTTTGTTCTATCCGTGGGGGGAAATTGGAGTGTTTTTTAAGAAAACGTTTGTTTGTAAATTGCATTAATTTCAAGTATATATTACGTGAAAACGAATTTTCAAAAATGTGCGCATGACCTTCTTTAATGAGCTGATTCTCTGTCTCTGCAACGCGGTAGTGGGGTGCAGTTCCGGTTCTGCGGGCGGAAGCGCACGGATGGTCCAGTAGGTTCCATTGTTAGCCGCAGAGAATGAAGGAAATCAGAGCGAATCCAAGTGAGTATAAAAGTACACAGAATAGTACATCACGCAGTTAGCTTATGATGTTCAGCTTCATTCTATGTGTACATGTTGACGTCAGGAGCGAGTTTTTAAATTTGTACAAAAGCAATAAAAAAACTCTATATAAACAAGTTAAATTCATTATTTTTTTTCGCCATCAACACAAATTTATAAGATATTCAAAGTTAATTTTTCAAGATGTTATTGTGAGGTCACAGATATTTGACATCTGTACGCGAAAACGGTTGTCGAGTGTTCGGTTTACCGCTACGTCCCCACAATTCTCTCACTGCGATTGGCTGAATGTGTGATGACGCAATTATTCGTCTCATAAACGGCAAATATGTTATAATTTGTCTCGTAAGATGTATTATGAACTATCGTGTAACGTAACGTAAAAGGCCCTTTAGAATGGTGGAATACAAACTAAAATCGTTTACGCGTTAGGGATCGTACAGGTTTTCTAATACGAAAACGAATCCACTTCTTTTTTTAACTAACTAGAACTAAATATATATTCAAATTTTCGTGCTTATCATGGATGGCATTTTTATTTTAAAATTTTTATTTGTGTTCTGCGAGTTCATGATAAAAATATATTTTATACAGAATACAGTTCCCAGGCCACAGCACAGAAAAATACCAGTTCAAGCCGAGAACGTTAGATGAAAAATGATCGCTTGAAATACTCTTTTATCTTTTGTGTATTTAATTATAAAATTAGGTTTAATAATTATGACCGAAAAAATCGCCTCGATGGCAAGTTGTTAAGTGTTTCACCTCTGTAACCTTGATACTGCATCCAAAAACATTTTTTTTCTAAAATTCTTCCAGAACGGTCAAGATGATTCCGGCTAAATATATTGTTCATCAATTTGTAGTATTTCGAAGAATCGAATGAGCAGGAATATATTTTTTTATTTATTTACCTTCGCCTCCCCGCCTCCAAAAATACAATTAAAAACACATTTTTTCTTTATATCCATATATTCAATAACATAACAATATTATTTTGGAGAAAATGTTATAATTCCTAATACTGCTATTCCTGGAGACGGAACTGTTTGTCAACAAATCAGACATTGGCATGTTGCTCCGTACTCAGCGAGCTCTACTCCTGCATGCGAAAGCGGTTGGCATTTCAGGAATGTAGCAAAGGCTGTTCCATTATTTAAACCTCGAAAGATGAGATCTGTCCTAAGGCTTGTTGAAGTCCCACAACTTTGCCCAGGTATTTATTTATCACAATCATCTGTTCAGCAGGAAGAAGAAATAGTTTTATCTAGTCGACATAGAAGTAATTTGATTCACGCACCCGACACGCCTTATCTCGTTCGCTCTGTTTCACCCCAATCACCGCGCCACGTCACGCCACGCTACGTGCCACGCCACGCTACGTGCCACGCCACGCCACGCCACACCACACCACGCGTCTGTCGCGCGCAACTGCCAGTATTGTCGTTGCATTCACAGTATGCAAGACTCTTAATCTAACTTACTCTCGTTTTGGGGATTTAACGAAGTAGAGAAATTTTTTGGACCTATTATGACCACCTTCGGTGTGATCGTGTAATGACTGGCAGCCAACAAGACCAGCAGCCGGGAAAACTCTCTAAGCCAATCAGTCGATATAATGGCAAACGCAGAATATAAAAGTAGTGGGCGAAGAAAAAAGAACAGGAAAAAAAGAAAATTGAAGAGTCTTAGAGGGTACGTAAGGAAGTTCGTGAGAAAAGACGAAAAGCAAGTTTAGTGTAAAAAATAAGAAAGGAGGTGAGTTGAAGAAAAAAATAATCTATAAAAACATTTTGTACACAAAATTCGTAATCGCACATAACATGACATCATTGAAACAGCTAAAGCACCCTTTCATCCCACTTGCAGTGTCACATGTCACTTATGCAGCGCTTGCGGCTTCCACAGAGCCACACCTTCCTTTCCTTCCCTCCCCTCCCCGCTCCCCTCACTCCCGCCCCTTCACCCACGCTCCGAACGCAGATTTCGACAGGTGTGATGGTCCGTCTTCTCGAGCTAAAACAAGTTCTGTATTCTGGAGAAAGATGAAATATAAATAGAGGAAAATACTGCTATTCAAAATAAATTGTTGATAAAAAAATGTGAGGACAAAATGGGAAAAAGACAGAATTGTTTGAAAGAAAAGGAGAGAAAGAAAGAGAGAGTGAAAGAGGCGGGAAAAGCGAGAAAATAGAAATAAAAGGGAGAAATTCAAGATAGTGGAGGAGGGGGCAAAAGCAAAGACGCAGGGACACAGAAAGAAATACAAGTCAGGATAAAAGTCAGTTCGAGAGAAGGATAGCAACAGCGAGAGAAAATAATATTACGTAGTAAAGTGTAACACAGCACAATCGACAAGAAGCCAAGAGAAAGCAAACGAACTGAAGTAGCCAAAAGGAACTCCCTTCGAAAAATTCCTAAACGCACCTCCCAGGGGCCAGCAGAGCAAGCGCACGCCGTCTTGCCCAACCGCCAGCCCCACGCGCCCCACGGCCCTCGGCCCCAACCCAGATTCCGCGCCAGGAGTAATAGCCCGTAATGGCGGGTCGCGGCGCCGCGCCGCGCAGCCGCATCGTAATGCCCTGTTATGGCCGAAATGTGGGTCTTCGCGGCGCCTCTTGGCAGCCGCGCCCGCACGCGCCCAGCCGCGCCGCGCCGCGCCGCGACGACGCCGTCCGTCGTTAACCGCTGCGTCCCGAATCGCTGCGACGTGCGCGGCCTGCGGGAGCGGCGGAGGTGGCGCGCGCGGCGACGTGGCACGGAAGTGCTCCTCTCCTCTCTCTCCTCTCCTCCCCTCACTAATCTCACTCCTCTCCCCTCTAATCTCCTCTCTAATCTCACTCCTCTCCTCTCTTCTCCTCGCCACTCTCCTCTCCTCTCTCCTCTCCTCTCTCCTCTCCTCTCTCCTCTCCTCTCCTCGCCTTCTTTCTCTCTCTCCTCTCCTCGCCAATCGAAACAGATGACTGTGATATCGGCGGTTGCGAGAGAGAAGGTGGATGTGGCTGAACACGAAATTTATCCGAATCCTAAGACACCAGTTTTTCTTTATAAACTTTCTGTT